TGTAATTCCTATAAATTAATTACAATGATAATTAATTATATAATAATTTAATTAATTAAATTAATAAATAAAAATAATACCTTTATAAGCCGCCATTCAGATATAGTTGAAAATAAAGAATTTAAAGCATCATAATTTGTTTGTACAAGTTTTTCTGAAATACTTTGCATTAAAATTTGTCATATAATTATTAGATATGTAGAATTCCACCTTACATCAACATTCAAAATTGGTTTCAAAAATTTGATTTTTTTAATTTTACACATATCAGATAATTCATCAAGCAATAAAAGCAATAATGGTGAATTTTTTATTTTTATAACAAATTGATGTAATTTTTTTATTTCATCTTCAATCAAGATTATTTCTGCTTTTACTGCAACATTAATTATATGCGCAGCACATCTATAATGTGAAAATAAAAAGTTATTAAATGCTTTCCAATTCTTCTGCTAGTTGAATATCACAAGCTATCATATTTGAGCTATTATCAGTAGTTAAAGCAATAATTTTGTGACTAATTTTAAATTCATCAAGAATTGTTAAAATGTTGCTTGTAATTAAATCTGCTAAATGTGATCCATGTAATGGTATTAAATCTAGTAAAAAATTTTTTATTTCCCAATCATTATTAATAAAATAAATGGTAATACAAAGATAACATTCTTTTGAAATTTTTGATGTTCAAATATCAGTTGTAAAAGATATTTTAGACTCAATTTTTGAAATTTCATCTTTTAACTACTTTCTTCTTTCATCAAATTCTAACATAAAATTCACTTTTAAGGTTTGTCTGTATGGTACTTCATAATGTGAATTTAATTTTTTAATGAAAATTTTAAATTGAGAATTCTCAACAATAGAGAATGGTTGCATATCTGCAGCAACAAAGTCAACAAGAAGTTTGGTTATTGGTTTAGACTCTTTTTTGGAATAAGGCTTATACCTTAAATCTTTTAAGGTGGTTTGTCTGGATTCAGGTTTTTGATATCTCGTTGAATGTTTGTTACTAAGGTGACACTGAAGGGATATTATTGCATTGCCAGTTGCATATGTTTGTGTACACAATATACACTTATATTCTGTTATAACATTATTTTGTAAATCATGAAATTTTTCAAAAAACTCCTACACATCTGAAGAAACTATAAACTTTGAAGTTGATGTATCTTCCTCTCTTGCTAAAGAATCGGAAGAATATATAGATTTATTATCATTATTTAGAGAATTTATTTCACACGACATATTCAATAATATGCCAAAAAATTGGGCTGGTTGGGCTAAAAATGATCATGTTATGACGCGTTATTACGCGTTGTATAATTTTATATAAAATTGATTTAGGATTGGTCTTAAGGATCGATTCGATCCAATCTCAACCTTTAGATTGGACTGAGATCGGTCTTATGATTGGATTGTGATCTAGACCGTCTCTCTGAGATCGTTAACATCCCTACCCTCATGTGATTAAATAGTGCAGTATAGTAGTGACTTCAAATGAATAACAATGACATTTTCTCGTACAGATTTCTGAGGCATTAATGAACACAAACAACATGAATTTTTGGTAGGGCTTTACTAAGGTTAATGTTCATTTATTTCTGACACTGCATGCCTTGTACTCTCTCTTTCTCCTCTTGTACAAGTATAACTGATGCTTGACAACCAATTTTTTCTATCCAGAATTCGATGATACAAATGAAACTGGATTAGTATTAGTATAGATAGTTTAGACAAGCGAAAAATCTCTGCAGGCATTAATATAGAATCATTGTGTAATAAATTCATGTATTACGACTACAAGTCGAATCATGTAATTTATTTTCTATATCAATAAAAAATTCGAACTTTTCTTCAATAAATAGATCTCAAGAAAAAAACATATCCAAATCTTTGGAAAGAGTATTCCCAGAAAAATTGCGTAACATTTTTTCTTACTTTAAAATTATATGTTGTATTAAGGATAACTTTATAGTGACAAAAATGTTTATATGTCAGTTTTGTATATAATGGCGTTTATTGGAAGTTAATTCACAAATCGAATGATCAGATTTTTCCAATTGTGACATTTTATCACGGTTTATATTTATGCTGACGAATTTTAAAATTATTTCTAGCTCAACCTACAATGGATTCATTAAAAAAATTAAATACTAAACTTTTAGCTGAGATTGCCAAGCTTAGGAAGGAGAATGCTGAGATTTCGAACTAGAGAGAAGTTACTAAAGTTTGTTAAGGTTAAGACTGAGAAAAAAAGATGGGCTAGTGAATGCTTCTGCAATATCTTGAAGAGATATCATGGTGATATAAAGAGAAAGGAGGAGATACCAAAGGTATCGGATCTTAGGAAATATCACAAATTTCTAACAGATTGTGATAGGCTAATCGGTAAAGTGTTATTACGTTGTGGTATTCTAAAGAGCTGTTTAAATACTGCATGGCTTGATGATCTTATGAAAGAATAGAAAAAACTCATATCCAATTTATACAAGTTTTCGCTCAAGCTTCTCTAGTGATTTTATTACCATAGATAACTACTAAGGTAAAGTAGTACCACCTATTCTCAACCCAATAATCCAACCCATGACCAGGCATATTTCCGCAATAAAGTATTAAAGCTTTATCCTGATATACCTTAAGTCAAAGTAACAGATCTGAAGATATATATCATTACAAGACAAAATCTTCTTTATGTTCATCATATGAGACGAATCACAAAGAAATATAGTGGGTTATTATAGGAATGGATCTTATAGTTTGGGTTGTAAGAGGGATCTCGCATAAAAATAGATTATGTGAAATTGATTACCTGAAATGCGCAGAAGATATTCGGTAAAATTTTTGCCAAGCCTTTTGACAGGCTGATCCTTTTTTTTAAACCCGTATTACGCATTTATACCATAATCATTTATTTTTAGGTCCCTTTGGGACCCGATCTGGCTATTTATTCTGATTTTTTTAATAGGACATATCGACTATCTAGATAATAAACAGTAGATATACCATTACTCTATTAGTATAAATTTATAATATATCAGTTTAGCATGTAATCATTATTTCATTGGATTTTCTTTTTAGCGCATTTTTTTTCCTCCTGAAAAAAGGAGACCTAATAAATAAGCAGTATATTTTATTAGATAAGTTATGCAACATGTTATATCTTTGCAAATCAATTTACGCCATTGCTCCCGATAATTTTATTTCTAAAATTGCTAATTTTTTGCTAAAATAATCAAGCGAATCTGCCTAAATTTTTTATAAATACCCTGCCTATTTCATTCCAACAGACTTTATGTTTTGATCTGCATTTACTTATGATAATGGAGGCTTTTTATACCGAACTGCGCCACGAGTGAAAGAAGTCCTACCTTCTTATATATTCGAAATGAGAAAAAAAATCTAGATAGATATCTAGTTCTTCCTTTACTCTTTCTTTAGATAAAAATGTAATAAGAGAATAGTACTTTAGCCGAAAGTGCTGCGCATAATATAGTTTATTCACATACTGTACATACATGATCCCAGAAGGATCTAACGAATATTTCAATAAATTTTTATTAATAAAAAAACACATAAGGCCTCACGACCAAGCATTTACGAAAAAAATATTATTATTCATTTGAATATGATGTGAAGGTATGGGGTTATGGGAATATCACTAACTTTTTTCGTCTTTAGGTACAATCATTAATCTGGATCTTAACATTTCTTTTTTCAGAAATAAGGAGTGATCTGATATAGATATGATATTATTTTTAATACATATCACCCTCAGATACTTATTCCATATGTCTATATTTTAGAGCGGGTTATCCTTCATTTATACTAGCATATATGAATGTATATTTTTGCTGTGCAAACAAAAACATATAAAGGGTTATTTCTAAAGAAGTATCTTGATATTTCTTTTCCTCCCACAAGTAAAAAAAATCAATTCTATAAAAAAAAGAAATAAAACAAAAATCAGCCTAATAAAATATTTTCAAACTCAGATATTGTCTTGATCGTAATCTTTAGCATTGCAATTGTAATTTCCAAGATGATGAGCTGAGATATCCTAACAATAGATATGATCCAAAGTATTTTTTTAGAAACGTAAACATTTATATAATCGTCGCTATTGCTATCATTTTTTTTCGCAAATATCTAATGGGATCATGAGATAATAATCTAAAAGAACCATCTTAACATTAAGTAATAAACTTCAAAAAATATGTACAGAAGCTGAATAAAGAAATAATGTGACATCTCAAGGTAGATCATTATCTTCTTAACACTAAACTCATTAGAAAAAAATTTTGATATACAGTCATATCTCGATATAATGAAGTTGCCGATTTAGCTGATCAGAACTTTGTTATAAGAATTTTTGTTATAGCGTTAATGAATTATTCGTTATAGTAGATGATTACTGATTTCATTACACAAATATAATTTTACTATGATAT